AGGTAAGCCCATTTGTCTTGAGGACACTGTTCACCTTCTACTGTTCTTTCAAACATTGTCAGAAATGGCTCAATGTCAATTATAGATGTCAGCTTTTGTAAAGGTCAACCACCATTGACTAACAAGTTTGAGAAAATGATTGTTCTGTCAGTCAGTCAGTCAGTCAGTCTTTATTTGTACTGCTGAGATCTCCCTCATGGTGAATTTCAGGGACGTACATTGGTCAGGTGATGTTCCATGTTAGCCTGCTATTGTGCACTGTTAGCCACTTGCAATTGCTTCAATATCACCCCCCACTGATTAAAATGAAAGTTTTGTCCCTTTTAAGTGTCAGGTTTTTTTATTTATAGCCTGCTCATTCTAGCACCAGTTGTGACGTTTGGGAAGTCAGCAGGATCACAGGACTAACTTTTTGGAGCAATATAGTCTTTTTATTTAACTCAAACAGCAGCAAAACAATAAGTTCACAGCAACAAGAGAGAGAACAAATGTTCCTTTACAGGTCAATAAGTCCTAGTAACAGAAAATTAGTTACTTCAACTGGAAAGTTTCATGGAAACTGTGGCACCACATGGCCCAGCTAGCCATGTAACCTTCTCCCATGTGTGTAACCATTCTCCTACAGATGAGCAATTATCTATTACCCCAACACATATTAATTTCTTATCAGTCCTCTCCTTCATTAACCCATGCTGTGTCTCTTAAAGAACCAAAAACTTGATGGACAAAAGAAAGGAGATATAAACCTGCCAGTGCAAAATATATACATGCATTAACCAATGGCACATAAATACTAAACCATTATGTAAACCTCATTATAGCTCCATAGTGCTATACACAGTGCTATATTGTGCTACATTACTGTGAATTATAGTGGACTGGACCACATATTATTGTGACCACCCCCCATCCTGTATTCACAGTGCATAGACCAAACAGTCCTTTTTGGGACTATGCTTTTGTCATTAGAAATGTTAGTTGCTGTTCAGCTTTTGGGGTGTTTTATGAGTTTTTATGTTGTTTCATATTTTCATATAATTTTTTTGTTTCTGAAAAAATAAAATAAAAAATAAATATATATAATATATATAATACACACACACATATATACTATTTTGCCAAAATTATCGGGAAAACCTGCCTTTACATTCACATGAGCTTTAATGGCATCCCATTTTAGTCCGTAGAGTTTAATATTGAGTTGGCCCACCCTTTACAGCTATAACAGCATGAGCTCTTCTGGAACGCTGTCCACAAGGTTTAAGAGTGTATCTATGGGAATGTTTGACCATTCTTCCAGAAGCCCATTTGTGAGGTCAGGCACTGATATCGGACGAGAAGGCCTGGCTCGCAGTCTCTGCTCTAATTCATCCCAAAAGGTGTTCTATTGAGTTGAGGTCAGGACTCTGTGCAAACCAGTCAAGCTCCTCCACCCCAAACTCACTCATCCATGTCTTTATGGACCTTGCTTTGTGCACTGGTGCGCAGTCATGTTGGAACAGGAAGGGGTCATCCCCAAACTGTTCCCACAAAGTTGAAATTGTCCAAAATGTCTTGGTATGCTGACGCTTTAAGAGTCCCCTTCACTGGAACTAAGGGGCCAAGCCCAACCCCTGAAAAACAGCCCCACACCATAATCCCCCCTCCATCAAACTTTACACTTGGCACAATTTGGTCAGGCAAGTACCATTTCCCTGGCATGTTCATCGGATTGCTATCTCAAGGAACTACTGGAAATAGCATGCCTGCATGTCCATTTACATTTCAATGAACTCCACCAGAAACCACAATGAAACATCAAAGCAGTCAGATAGCTAGGTTCCCACCCATCTTAGAACATATAAATTGTATTAGACTTCCAAGGCAGTTAGAGCACTACTTTTGAATCCAACACTATGTATTGTTTTGCTCTCCCTGCATGAAGGTCTAACGACCTGCTTGTTTAATAAACACATCTACTTTTCAATCTGGCTTCAGCAGTCAAATTGTTACTGAAACCCATGATTTTTGCGTTTCCCCGTCAGTACTCTGGTGACTGGAAAGAATGCAGTGGGGCACAATGCTGGAGCTAGTGGGGTTACCTCATTTCTTGCACATTGTTGTCGGTGTGACAGCACAGTCACCTCTACACCCTCTCTTTTTCCTCCTCATTAATGGTCTCCCCCTCTAACGCCTTAGCATCATTACCCCCCAAATGTCTCAATGTCCTTACAATGACCCAGGCAAAACATTAACATGCTGATTTACCACTGGTGTGCTCTGAGCCAGAGATCCTAATATCGCTTTAAGGGCAAGCCAAGAAGAAGCTGACCTTACAGCATCTTTTGCCATGCAAGGTTGTGTATGACAATTGCATCAGTCTGCTATCTACCCATCAGCAGGGAAACTTCACACATGTACCTTACCAAGCAAATTTACTGAACCGAGCGGTGTATCTATTCCATGCTAGGTATCCTGACTTCCAGGATGGGCTGCAGCAGGCCCTCTCTGAAATGCAGTGGCAACGCAAGCTGCCTGTCAACTGGATAATATTTAATACACCAATGCACTGGAGCTCAACACTAAGCATGCTATAGCAGCTACACAAGCATCAGACCGTGAATGAGTATCTGTACAAGTACAGGATAAAGACAGGTTCTAGAGTGGTGAGGTTCTTTTCACCATGTCAGTGGCTCTTGTTTCATGACGTGCAACATTTTGTTACCCTTCAGACACCACAATAGTGCTGGAGGAACAACAGCAGGATGAAGAAATAGACTTCTTGCTATTTCAGACCCATCATACTTTGCCTATTGCTTCCATCCCTATGAGTCAGCGTACGAAGAGGAGGATTGGGATCCTGGTGGTTAGTAGGAATTCCGGGACTGAAGTGAACACTCTTTGCACAGTTTACGCTGGAGCTTCTAGCTAGCCCTGCAGCCAGTGTGCTGTCTAAGTGGGTCTTCAGCGCAGCAGACAGTTTTGTGACAAAGAGATGATTTCGTCCTCTCCTCTGGCACCGTGAACCATTAAAATAAACCAGTCTTAGCGATGATTACAAAACCCTTGCAGCCAATGCTGCTGATTACACTTTTATTTGTCTTTCAGCCCACCCTAAAGAACTTCCTTATAATATTGCCAACTGGCTGTCCTCATCTCTGCTGGCCTACCACTATTACCAGCTTCTGACACTACTCCTGGCTTGCCACTGCAACCATTACCAACTCCTGACACCTCTGCTGGCCTCCAGCTATTACCAGCTTCTTTAACCACTCCTGACCTGCAGCAGCCACCATCACTGGCTCCTGCCACCTTTTCTGGCCTGAACCTATTACCAGCTCTTGCCAACATTATGAACTCTGGCTACCTCTGCTGGCTTACCACCATTAACAGCTCTGTCCCTGCTTTACAGCTCCTGCCACCCCTCCTAGCCCACCACCATTACCACCATTTCCTGCCACTTCTGCTGGCCTAGCACCATTACCCTCTCCTGCCATCTCAGCTGCTCTGCCACCCTTACCAGCACCTGACGCCTAATATTTTTGGGAATAATTAGGGACACGGGTGGGAGGGAGTTCATGGGGTGTGGGGTTGTAGTTTTGAAGTGCTTTGTGCTCTCTGTTTTGACATGTTTATAAAATGTTTAAGGCAATACAGTGTGGTAATGAGGAAAAAAAAGGTCACACACTCCATGTTTCCTATCACTTTAAAGGTTTAACTGACCTAGATTCATTCAGATGAATACTTACCTTTGCAGAATGATCAGGTAATTCTGAATGCTGTAACACAGTGTAGAAGCATACAGTAAGCTGTGCTGTCCTCCAGGCAGAGTCCTACAAACTTCCTTTATGCGCCCCAAAAGAAAAAGTCTGTCCTATGGCATCTCAGCCATTCAGGAACAGCTTTGTATTTTTATCAGTAAATACAAGGCATTCTCTAATTGGCTAAGGTGAAAAGACAGGCTGATGACATCACAATCTCTACCTCATCCAGTTAGAGAATGCCATGCATACACTGATAAAAAACGAGGATGTTCCTGAATGGCTGAGATGCCATTGGACCAATACATTTTTTTTTCAGAGTGCAGAAGAGAAGAAGGCACAGCTTACAGTATGCAGCACAAGCTGCTACAGTGTATTACAGCATCCACTGTGGCCAGACCATTCTGCAAAGGTAAGCATTCATTTAAACAAAGCTGGCCCATTAAAACTTTTTAAAATGACAGGAAACCTGGTATTATGATTTAAGGCATTTCCTTATGTTATTTAAAGGACTTTCATTTTTCCCACATCGCCCCTAAAGTCACATGAAAAAGTGGACTTTCCCTCTTGTTCAGTAATTTGTAACTTTTTTTTGTATTGGTACATATCCTCCATGGCAGTATTGGACTCATTGCCCTTTTTTGACAACTATTCTTATATTATCTTAGAAAATGGGCAGAATTGATTTTCATCCCCTTAAAAATATTAGTGTGGTTCAGTTTTAGGTTTGTAATTTTCAGTCTTCAAGATAGGTTCAGCAATGCCCTGAGATGTGAACCCAGACACATTTGCTCATCTTTATTCTTAAACTACATCTAAGATAACCAACATTAAAATAAATAGGAGCAACTTACAATCAAAAATAATTTTAAAACACCTCCTAGAATTCTGATATGTAATCTTTTTTATTCTAGGCTCAAGTCTTTCAAACAAGATGTGTGTCTTTTTAGAAAGAAAGCCTATGTGCTCCAAAGATCCCAGGTTTACACATTTCCTCAATACCAGACTTCAAGGCAGCAAAGAGGGTAACTCCACTTTTATGGGAAAAAATAAAATAAAATTTAAAGAATATAATGGATACAATTGTGGCACAAGTTATATTGGATTTGAATGTTTTTAAAAATTACCTTTTCAATCTGCAGCTCTTTCATTTTTTTCTGTAAAATGCTATGCAATATGGCTACCTGGAGGCATTCTGTACACAGATGGTGTACAGAACACCCCTAGAAATGTAATTTCCTGCCTGTGTGATTGGTTTACTGATTTTCCCAGAAATACGATACAAGCAGGGGTGGACTGACTATTTGGAAACTTGGGCACTGCCCGAGGGCCCGAGGTCAGTAGGGGGCCCCGTGAGATGCCCCTGGTACCTTTTTCATAGGCTTTTTTGAGTTTGGGCAAGGTCACAGGGGCCCCATGATCCCTTATTGCCCGGGGGCCCCATGAGTTGTCAGTCTGCCCCTGGATACAAGTCAGCTCTTGGGCATCCCCTGCAACAAAAATGTCATTTTTGGTGAAATACTCCCAAAAGGAAATCAACCTACAGGTGCAGCAGCTGACTGATAACTGATAATCACTTCCATACAGGTTCACTTTGCACATAAACACAGAAAAACCAACAGCTACAGTATTTCTTCAGAATACCAAAGATAGGATTCTGCAACAAAGTTTGTTAAAATCCCTTCATGGTATATAGATCACCCAGAGAATTACTCTTTAATTCCATAACAGTGTTATGCTGAATTTAGTACATGTAAAAATAATGCTGCAATGAGTTATCTGAAAGTATAAGTGCAGAGGTAACACAAGATATAGAGAAAAAAGTGCACAGAAAAGGCATGGATAAGAAAAGCATGAAAAAAGATACAGTTGAGGATAACATAGGGTCTTTCAGGATTTAGATTTGTTCTCCCTTCAGAATAGACTTCATTAGTAAAGCAGCCATCTCCTTGCTTGCAGTTCGCGTAACATCACAGCTAGTAGTTTAGGGTACCTAGAAAGATGGAGTACCCTATTTACTTTGTTCCATAAGGAACTAAATAATGTGAAAAAAAAAAACTGATAGGTCTTTTTAAGTTTCCTAACAGTAATTTTATCCTACCATGTACAGGAAATTTGTGCTATGCTTCTCTGGTCTGGAAAAAGAGGGTAGAGGGGCAGTAATGACAGACATGTTCCTCATCCTCCATTATGGAGAACAGAAATCAAAGGCAAAAAGTACTGCGGGGAGACATGATGGAAGAGGAAGATCTGAAATATTTTCCTTAGATAAACCTGATTGCTGTAGTAAAAGTCTCATTACTGGCACTTAAGCTGTATGTGTATTTTCTATAGTTCTCTTGGTCCTATAAGGTTTGAGAAGAATTCATGGATGGCAGGAGGTATAAAAGATAGAAAGGGGTTGATATGGAATCAGTGTGTTGGACTGATGTATTGTGAAATCAGTGAGAAGAGGGAGATTAGGCAATGCTGGAAAAAGAAAGAAATGGAGCAGTATCAAAATTGTCTCCAATCTCGGATGATTAGCATGTGGAAAAGGGGGCACTGACTCAAATGACACTGTGGAAATTTTGTTCTACATTACAGAGTGCTTTTGTCAGGACTCTTAATATTAAACTTTGCATCTGCTTTAAAGAGCAGTAGCCTCACCTGCACTAGCCTGCTATACAAGTACAGTAGTTATACTTAATTTTCCATTTAGAAATAACTATATTCAAACAAATGTAAGGCAGTAAACAATCCTATGACATATTACAGCCTTTCTCAACCAGGGTGCCTTGGCAAAATGTCTACAAATTGCCCAAAACTTGTATACCAGCCAGTGGGTGGAACAAGCCCGCCTTTCAGTTACACAAAGCCACAGGTTTTCATTGTGCACCATTACGACCTTCTAGCCACTGGCGTCCTGACAACCAGTGACATCATCAATTGATAAGGAGGATGTTGGCTGGCTGACTCACTCCCATCCATTGGTGAACCAATATCCCCCATCCCTGGATCAACTATTGTCTACAGTTGCTGATATTAGACATATGGAATATATATGACTATCATACATAATTCAGTGGAGCTGTTCGATAAAACTTGGACCCTCTAGGACCAATCCGCATGTGGTAAATCTTTGCCTGCTGAAAACACCTCTTGATGGTAACATTTTTTTTGCCCACAAGTCATACTGTGCCCATCTTCACTGATAAATACTATTGTATATGATCCAATTATGCCCTCAAGCAGGGGCGGACTGACCATTTGGAAACCCGGGCACTGTCCGAGGGCCCGGGGTCAGTAGGGGGCCCCATGAGATGCCCCTGGTACCTTTTTCATAGGTTTTTTTGAGTTTGGGCAAGGACACAGGGGCCCCATTATCCCCTATTGCCCGGGGGCCCCATGAGTTGTCAGTCCGCCCCTGCCCTCAAGACACTATTGAAATGATTTACTAAAACTGCATGGTGCAAAATCTGTGCAGCTCTGCATAGAAACCAGTCAGCTTCCAGTTTTGTTATCAAATTTTAAGTGAATAAGCTCAGTGCATTAAATCTCCCCTCATAAGTTATTTATTCTCTTATTCCTGTAAACATCCATCCTCGGTCCACAAGTACACTGTGATTATTGAATTTGAACTAGTTGATATGTTGTATTACAAGGTTTATGACTACATTTTATTTGACTGTACTGATACAATCCTATTGCTGATACTTTGTACTCCATGGCATTGCTTTATTTTGTACACTGTTTATACCTCTCCTCCTCACTGAAGCTTCTGTTCTGTGTTTTCTCTGTTCATGTTCACTTTTTCTTTTGATACCTCAATAAAAATACAATTATGAAAATGGGGATAAGGGGACATGAATAGATGATGGTAGAGGGTAGTGATGTTAACACCTCGCAAGGCATGTTCTACAGTCCCTGTGCTCATGGCACTACCCTGATGGGATCCCCAACGGGGTCAGACAGGAGTCCTAAGGTGCACCATGTTCATGGAATGTAACTGCTTTTTAATTTGTTTCAGTGGCATATGGCAGAGAGTATTTTTCATTAGATGTTTCAAGGCTTGTGTAAATTCTCAGATTGAAATTCCCACATAGAATCGATGCCCAGAAACAAAGAACTTCAATTCCTGCAGAAATTTCTCAGGGAAAGTGACTTTATTTGTGTTTTGGAAATAGGATTTGCCAACGCGATTTGTTTTTGAGCTAGTGTCTTTTATAGATAGGAACCTCCCTTTATCATCTTTAAGTTCTTCTGCAAGTGTTTAAATTTGTGGATCTGCCCAGGAGTTAGGTCTGTCACATGAAAAGCTGTTGGGGAAAAAGCAAGTTTTCAGGAGCTGTATATAATTACGTTAATAAGCATTTCCAGAATAATTGCTGTGTTGGTGTTTGTATGTGTCATTTGAAAGTGTAAATCTTGTATCCAGTAGGTTAGGACCTTTTCAATTCATAGAAAGTAGGAACCAGTGTTTATTTGTGCCCATCTGAGGCATGTTGACAAAAGGAGCCCTGGTGCATCAGTCCTCCTTGCATAGGAAAGGGTAGGGCAATGGGAAGGGCATGTAGGGGAGAAAGAAGACGGTTATAAGTGAGGTTTGTAACTGTAAAAAGGATAAGGGGGGTAAAGGAGAGGGGAGAAAAAAGGGGGTAAAGGGGCCCCAGAAAGGGAAAGAAAACAAGAAAAAAATAGAAAGCCTTAGGGGGAGAAAGATGAGATTTAAAAAAATGTAGCCAAACATATACCTTTCTGTCACCAGAGTCCATTAAGGGGGCCAGTTGAACCAAGGGGTGTTGTCTGTATGTAGCTAGATCTTTGAAATAAGCCTAACTTTGGAGATAAATGTGCAAATGAACTTGCAGTTTATACCTTTGTAACCCATTAAAATGTTATTACTTACAATACATTAAAATGGACAGTGGATGATGGGGGTTTGCCATTCAGGGTTACTCACAAGAACAGAACAGCCCTCTAGAGCATTTATGCTAAATAGGAAGGCTCGGCTAGTGAGCAGGGCAGTCAGGGACTACATTTCCCAGGAAGGGTAGCAGCAGGTGGGGTCATATAAATATCAAAAGCTCGGGAGAGACTGAATGAGAAGGAAGTGTGCTGACGGCTGAAGTGCTGAACTAGGCCGCAAAGCCAGGGTTGGAGAGAGAGAAGTGAAGTGGAAAGAGCGTACTGACCACTCAGTCTGCAACGCTGCCCAGCAGGCCAATAAGACAGCAGGAGACCAGATGAGATGCTGAGTCTGAGCTAGAGAGTCCGTTGACTTACCACCATGATCTGCCAGGTTACTTTGTTCGGGGAGAGAGACCAATGCAACCACTGAATACTGACAGTTTTCCAGCTCTATCTGTGAGGGACCGCCGAGCGGCACCACTAGCACTTCACTGGTCAGGCGTGCCCAGAGCGTGGAGTCTAAGCCCCAGGGTACTTGTTCACCAGGGCCCCTGATGGTGGGGATGGACTTGTAGTACCCCGAGACCAGGTCGCCACTACTGAGCACACCTGTCAGTGGTAGGGGTGTTCGCCAGGGGCTCCAACCAGGGAGAGCCAGATGTGAGGAGGTCGGGTGACCCCGATGGGATGGATGGATGGATGGCTGAGCAAGTGCGAAGTCAGACAGGCCAAGTTGGTAACGTAGAGGACGGTAAGGTACAAGGGAGCAGGCAGAGAATCGTCGGGTCACACGCCAGGTCAGCAACAGGAGGTCAGATCTAATGAGGGGCATCCAGGGAGAGAGGTCAGGCAAGCAAGGGTCTGGGCAGGAGAAATCAGCAGGTCAAGAACAATCCGGGTCAATAAACTTACAAGGCACAGGTACAGAATCACAGGAAGCAAGTAAGACCAGAAGGCAACGAAATGACTGCTCAGGGACCTTTAAATATCCCGCCCTGCGCTGCCACTGGTGCCCAGCGGGCGGCCGCGGCTTCTACTGCGCATGCGCGAACTCGAACGCCGCGGCCGGCCCGGACCTAGTGCCCGTGTACAGGGCGGAGCAGTGCGCCTGCGCCGGGACCAACGCGGCAGGGATCGAGGGGATCCCTGACATTGCCCCCCCCTACGGGCAACCTCCGGATGCCCACCCGATCTCTCCACCACGGGTGATCACAAAGAAACCTCCGGACAAGTCTAGGTGCATGGACATTATGGGCTGGTTCCCACGAATTGTCCTCAGGGCCGTAGCCCTTCCACTTGATGAGAAATTGGGTCTGGCCCCCCCTTCGTCGGCACTTCAGGATTGCCTCCACCTCAAATTCTTCTTCCTCTTCAACCGTTACGGCCTCCGGGGGCCTGGATTCCCGTTCCGGGAAGGCATCAGGGACTACCAGCTTCAACAGGGACACGTGGAAGACAGGGTGGATCTTGAGTGTCTCAGGGAGAACAAGTTCATAGGCCACTTCATTGACCATCCGTTTGATGCAAAAAGGGCCTATAAATTTAGGTCCCAACTTTTTTGACGGGCAGAGCATCTTCAAGTTCGACGTAGCCAGCCAAACCTTCTCTCCGGGCTGCAACACCAGATCCCCTCTTCGCTTCCTATTAAAAGCCCTCTTGTAGTCTTCTTGGGCTTGACGGATGGCTTCCTGTAGTTTTTTATTGTTTGAAGTGAAGAAGGCTAGTGCATCCTGTGTCGCTGGAATTGGGCATTCCGGGACTAAATCCGGGAGGAAGACAGGATGAAACCCATAGTTGGAGAAGAACGGGGACTGCCCAGTTGCTGAATGGCAAGCGTTGTTGTACGCGAATTCCGCCAAAGGGAGAAGTGGCACCCAGTCGTCCTGAGAGAATGATGTGTAGCATCGCAGGTATTGCTCTAGGGTCTGATTGGTCCTTTCGGTCTGATCATTAGTCTGAGGGTGAAATGCCGAGGAAAGGGATAGCTTGATATCCAGGGCTTTGCACAATGCCCTCCAAAATCTCGAGGTAAACTGCACCCCTCAGTCCGAGACGATGTCTTCGGGAACCCCATGCAGTCTAACGACCTCTCGAATAAAAACTTGCGCCATCTCGGCTGCTGATGGAGTCTTCCGTAAAGGAATGAAATGGGCCATCTTGGATAAGCGGTCCACGACCACGAGAATTGATGTCCAGTGAAGGTGGAAGCTCGACTATAAAGTCCATAGAGATTTTCTGCCAGGGCCCTTCAGGGATGGGTAATGGACGTAGCAGGCCCCACGCCTTATTTCTTGAAGGCTTGTTCCGCTGGCAGATGGCACAGGAGCCCACGTAACTTTTACAACCATTGGCCATGTCCGGCCACCAGAAGGAACGTCGGAGAAGTTCCAGGGTCTTGACCGGGCCAAAATGTCCTGCCATTGGGTGGTCATGGCAATGTCCCAAGACTAAGGTTCGGGCATCCTCCGGCACCACAATCCGGTCCTCCCTCCATAGGAGTCCCTCCTTGTTCCGGAGGGGCACCCCACGGAGGTTCGCTGTGGACGCTCTCAGAGATCTCGGAGCGAAGTTTCGTCTGAAGAGCAAGAAGTTTCCTGCAGGAAGAATAGTGTCGGGTACTGGGATCTCCTTGGTGTCAATGCGGTCTTGATAGCCAGTAGTTCTCGATCCCCAATGTCGTAGTTCCTCTCCGCAGGGGTAAGTTTCCGTGAGAAAAATGCTACTGGGTGAAGTAATTCCTTGGCGCCCTTTCGCTGGGAAAGGATGGAGCCAACCGCGTTTTCTGACGCATCTACTTCAAAGATGTAGGGCAGGGAGGCGTCGGGATGACCCAGAATGGGTGCCGAGGTAAATAACTTCTTTAGTGCTTCAAAAGCTTCCTGTGCCTCTGGCGTCCATCTGAATCGCGTCCCAAGCTTGGTTAACTGAGTGATGGGGGAGACCAGACCCGAGAAGTTCTTGATGAACTTCCGGTAGAAGTTTGCGAACCCGATAAAACGTTGGACGCTTTTCCTGTCCGTGGGTTCAGGCCAATCAAGGATCGCAGAGACCTTCTGAGGGTCCATTGCGACCCCCGTGGTGGAGATAATCAGACCCAGAAATGTAACACTAGCCTGTTCAAAGCAACATTTCTCTGCTTTAGCGTACAACCCGTGCTGCCGCAACCGCCCCAACACCTTTGTTACATGTACCCTGTGCTCCCCCAGAGAGGATGAGAAAATCAAAATGTCGTCTAAGTAGACGATGACAAAGATGTCCAGGAAGTCCCTAAAGATGTCGTTTACAAAGTGCTGGAAGGTGGCCGGCGCATTGCACAACCCGAAAGGCATGACCAGGTATTCGAAATGGCCGAAACGGGTGCGGAAGGCCGTTTTCCACTCATCCCCCTCCCTTATGCGAACCAAGTTGTAGGCTCCCCTTAAGTCCAGCTTGGTAAATACTACTGCAGCTTTTAAGCTCTGGAATAATTCAGGTACCAGTGGTAATGGGTAACGATTTTTAATTGTGACCCTATTCAGCTCCCGATAGTCAATACATGGCCTCAAAGTCTTGTCCTTCTTTTCTACAAAGAAGATCCCTGCACCTGCTGGGGAAGTGGAGGGACGGGTGAATCCCTTCCGGAGGCTGTCCTCAATATAATCCTTCAGGGCCCCTAATTCTAGCTCAGAAAGGGGAAAAATTTCCCGAAAGGAATTTCAGAACCGGGTAACAGATCAATAGGACAGTCATATGGGCGGTGGGGGGGTAGAGCATCTGCTCCCCGTTCACTGAACACATCAAGAAACTTATGATAGGCTGCAGGAATCACTTGTTTTAGGCTGGCATCCCCTTCAGAGCACAGGAGGACCTGGGGGACCTCCGGGCCCGAAGTTCGACACAGTTCCCGACAGTATGGGGAAGGGAACGAGACAACCCCAGTTTCCCAGTCAATTTGGGGGTTATGGGCCCGCAACCATGGGAGCCCCAGAATGACTGGGAAAAGGGGTGATGCAATAGCATCCAGGCGGAGGAGTTCCCGGAGCTGACCGGCAATAGAAGTCACAATGGAAGGGGTCTCCTGGTTAACCACCCCTGACTTTATCCGGGAGCCATCAGCCAAAAAGATGTGAAACCCCTTCTCCTTTGGGCGGAGGGGGATACCCTGCTGGTGAGCAAAATTGATATCCACAAAACAGCTGCATGCCCCCGAATCAACTATGGCCGTCACCTCCACGGTCCTTTCTGAAAGCTGAAAGGAGAGGGGAACAACTAAGTATTGGGACGGATTCATATTGCCAATAGATAAAGAAGATGAGGTGAACTTACTCAGTTTCTGCGGGCAGGAACGTACCATGTGACCCGCTTCACCGCAGTAGAGACACAGATTCTGGGAGCGTCTGCGCTGGCGTTCCTCTGGCGATAGTTTAGGCCGTGCCAGGCCTAGCTGCATGGGTTCGGGAGCATCTTCAGGCGGCAGGTTCTGGATGTTTGGCCTAGTATGTTGACTGGATCCTTGGAAAGACCCCCAGGTATTTCCGCGACCCTGACCAGACCTCTCCAATCTGCGCTCCCGTAGCCTACGGTCAATTTTAATGGTGAGTGCAATCAAGTCCTCTAATGTCTCGGGCACCTCCACCCGGGCGAGCTCGTCTTTCAGAGCCTCAGAAAGGCCCATACGGAACTGGTGCAAAAGTGCGAACTCGTTCCATCGAGTGTCACCCATCCAGCGCCTAAAGTCAGAGGCGTATTCCTCAGCCGCCCGCCGACCTTGTCGGAGTGCGTATAATGTGGCCTAGGCCGAGGCCGCCCGTTGTGGGTCATCGTATAAGATGGCCATAGCGTTAAAGAAGTTGTCAACCGTAACCAGATGAGGATCATTATTTCCCCTTAGTCGGTGGGCCCAGTCTTGGGGTTCACCCTGCAACAGGGAGATAACAAACCCCACTTTCACCGATTCTGTCAAAAAGGTCCGTGGTTGCAGTTCAAAGTAGAGCAGACAGGAGTCACGGAATGACCGAAAGCGTGTGCGATCCCCATGGAAGCGCTCGGGTAAGGGTACTCGGGGTTCCGCCATAGGGAGTGATGTGGAAGGCCCAGGAGCCGGCCCGTGGGCTGCTGCGACCGGCGGTGCAGGAGCCGGGGCCTGTGAAACAGGAGCAGATATGGTGCAGGCCTGAAACCGATTCTCGATCTGCAAACATCTGTCCTGTAATGTGTTTACTGCTTGCGTCAGGGTAGCTAGGTGCCTGCAAACCTCGTCCAACGGGGAGGGTCCTCCTCGAGGCTCAGTCATGGCCTTCTGGTACTATGAGGGACCGCCGAGCAGCACCACTAGCACTCCACTGGTCAGGCGTGCCCAGAGCGCGGAGTCTAAGCCCCAGGGTACTTGTTCACCAGGGCCCCTGATGGTGGGGATGGACTTGTAGTACCCCGAGACCAGGTCGCCACTACTGTCAGTAGTCCACCTGTCAGTGGTAGGGGTGTTCGCCAGGGGCTCCAACCAGGGAGAGCCAGATGTGAGGAGGTCGGGTGACCCCGATGGGATGGATGGATGGATGGCTGAGCAAGTGCGAAGTCAGACAGGCCGAGTTGATAACGTAGAGGACGGTAAGGTACAAGGGAGCAGGCAGAGAATCGTCGGGTCACACGCCAGGTCAGCAACAGGAGGTCAGATCTAATGAGGGGCATCCAGGGAGAGAGGTCAGGCAAGCAAGGGTCTGGGCAGGAGAAATCAGCAGGTCAAGAACAATCCGGGTCAATAAACTTACAAGGCACAGGTACAGAATCACAGGAAGCAGGTAAGACCAGAAGGCAACGAAATGACAGCTCAGGGACCTTTAAATATCCCACCCTGCGCTGCCATTGGTGCCCAGCGGGCGGCCGCGGCTTCTACTGCGCATGCGCGAACTCGAACGCCGCGGCCGGCCCGGACCTAGTGCCCGTGTACAGGGCGGAGCAGTGCGCCTGCGCCGGGACCAACGCGGCAGGGATCGAGGGGATCCCTGACACTATCTACCTACACATATTTGTGAACAATACATATAGTTGCCTAAGTTAGTGTCAACTGAAACAAGTTTCCCTAATTCAACAAAGCAGGATTCCCGTTACTGTTCCTTATTACTTATTTTGCCTTTGATGTACAAAGGGAGCTGTCTTTGCTTATAGACATTTATGCCAACTGTTGCTATTCATTACTTCAAGTCTGCTCCATGTTTAGTGCTTTAAAGGGGACCCTGCCATAATTCGCTACCATCAAGAGGAAAAGTGTTAAATCTCCCTTGTTCCTTCACTATCTTTGTGTTATCATCCCAATGAACTATATTCCACACATAAACTCAACTTCATATCAGCTGGGCCCAAACAAGCACACAAAAAACACTGTAGTGTTCTTAGAGAGACAGTGCTCAATTTCAAATGAGGATTCTCTTTCCTTCACATCTAATCCTTATCATCTAGTTCTGAGGACCCACAGTGAGCTTACCTGTTTCCTGATTTTCTGCTCACTGGGGATTCAGCAGTCCCCTAAGATTGGAGGCAGTGGATTGTTTCTGAAAGCAGCCTTGCTAATAGTTATTGTTGCTTTATGGCTTATGTCAATACTTTTGCTTATAATTACCAAGAGTGATTATATTTGCTGCATATATCAGTGTAAATTTTTTCTTTTTGACCAAGTGACCTTTAATTCCAATATACACTTCATATAGGTCTATACTATATACATTGGGAATACATTGGACCTTATTTTCTCCCGTCTTTGCACTCCCTACAACCTCACAAACACCCCCTTTCATCTCTCTGATCACAATCACATCACCTTCACAGTTTCCTTGTCTTCAAACACCTATTATTATTATTTCAGGTACTTATATAGTGCTGTCAATTTACATAGCGCTTTACACATATATATTGAACATTCACATCAGTCCCTAACCCTCAAGGGGTGTACAATCTCTAAGGTCCCTAACTTACATTCATACATACACATATTAGGGCCAATTTAGACAGGATCCAATTAACCTACCAGCATGTCTTTGGAGTGTGGGAGGAAACCGGAGCACCCGGAGGAAACCCACGCAAGCACAGGGAGAACATGCAAACTCTGTGCAGGAGGCGCCATGGTCGGGAATTGAACCCATGACCCATTTACTGCAAGGCAGACGTGCTAACCACTTAGCCACTGTGCCGCCCACCTATCACTCCAAGAGGCAAACAATTACCTGCAGAAACCTTCACAACTTGAACCCTGCTCCTTTCCACTCTGCAACTGACAAACTCTATGACAGAATCTCTCCCCCTGTCTTGCCCTGACCTGGCTACTGCTGTCTACAACAGTTCACTTTCATCCGCATTAGACTTGCTTGCTCCTCTAACAACACAAAGCATCAGGCCCCGACCGTTGCAACCTTGGCAGACTGACGACACCAGAAATCTTAAACGACATAGTCGTGCGCTGGAGCGATTGTGGCAAAAAAACAAATCCCAGCAAGCATTCACCCGATATAAATCTGCTTTCTTAACATACAATTCCTCTTTTCATGCTGCCAAAGAAGCCTACTTTGTCACTCTTATTAATAACTTGTCATCCAGTCCTTGTCGTCTCTTCTCTACTTTAACTCTCTACTTTCTTCACCTCCACCTCCACCCAGTACTTCACTCACTGAACACGAGATTGCAAATCATTTCACAAACAAGATTGACGCAATTCGTAGGGCATCCCCACTGCAGAACATCCATCCCCACTTAGCATACCTTATAATTAGAGATGAGCGAATCGAACATGACGAAGTGGAATTCGTTTCGAATATTAGGAAAAAATTTGATTCGCGCCGAATCCGAAAATTAGCAAACTTCGGATGCACGAATCGAATTTTCCCCCCGATCGCCGATTTTTCATCCCTTCTACAGCCGGCAAGTGTCCCCCCTGCAGAGAGCTCCGCTATTTCTGACAGTTCCTTTACATTTACAGCGGTTTGAAACATTGTATCTATTTGTTTCCATTTAGGATACAGATGTTTTTATTTGGAAACAAATAGATACAATGTTTCATCCCGCTGTAAATGTGAAGGAACTGTCAGAGAACTGTCAGAAATAGCGGAGCTCTCTGCAGATACACTTTTTGCTGGACTGGAATTCTTCTTTTTTTCATCCTACTTCTTCTTCTTCTTCATCCTCATCCTCTTCTTCTTCATCCCCTCTCCTCTTCCCATAAACATCCTCTTCCTCTTCTTCTTCATCCTCATCCTTTTCTTCATCCTCCTCTTCTCTTCATCCTCATCCTCTTCTTCATCCTCATCCTCTTCTTCTTCTTCTTCTTCATCCTCATCCCTCCTCTCTTCTCCTTCTTCCTCTCTTCTTCTTCATCATCCCCATCCTCATCCTCTTCTTCTTCCCTCACCATCCTCCCCCTTCTTCTTCACCCTCTTCTCTTCTTCATCCATCCTCATCCCTCTTCTTCTTCTTCTCTCCTCTTTTCTTCCCATCAAATCCCCTTCTTCTCCCTTCCCCTTCATCCCTCTTCTTCTTCTTCTTCATCTTCCCATCATCTCCCTCTCTTCTTCTCATCCTCTTCTTCTTTCCTTCTTCCTCTTCTTCCTCTTCCTCTCTTCTTCTTCTTCATCCTCATCCTCTTCTTCTTCTTCCCTCATCCTCATCCTTCTTCTTCTTCATCTCATCCTCTTCTTTCCCTTTCCTCCTCTTCTTCTTCCTTCTTCTTCTTCCTTCTTCTTCCTCCTCCCTTCATCCCTTTCCTCCCCCCCCATCCTCATCCCTCCTTCTTCATCATCCTCCACCCTCTTCTTCATCCTCATCCTCCCATCATTCTTTCTTCATCCCTTCCTCTTCTTCTTCTTCCCCCTCATCCCACCTTTCTTCTTCCCCCCCTCCCCTTTCCCCCTCACCTCATCCTCTTCTTCTTCTTCATCCCCCATCTTCCTTCTCATCCTCTTCTTCATCTTCTTCCTCAGACTCTCTTCTTCTTCTTCTTCATCCTCATCCTCCTACCCCTTCTTCCCTTTCTTCTCCTCCCCCCCCCTCTTCTTCCTTCTCCCCTTTCTCCTTCCCCCTCCCTTCTCTCCTCATCCTCATCTTCTTCTTCCCTTCTTCTTCCCCCTTCCCCTCATCCTCCTCATCCTCTTCCTCACCCAGAATCCTTCCTCTTCATCCTCATCCTCTTCCTCATCCTCATCCTCTTCTTCTTCTTCCCTCATCCTCTTCTTCTTCATTCTTCTTCATCCATTCCTCTCATCCTCTTCTTCTTCCTCATCCTCTTCTTCTTCTCTTCCTCATCCTCATCCTCTTCTTCTTCTTCATCCTCTTCCTCATCCTCTTCTTCTTCTTCATCCTCTCCTCTTCTTCTTCTCTTCATCCTCCTCATCCTCTTCTTCTTCTTCTCTTCTTCTTCTTTTTCTTCATAATCCTCATCTTCTTATATTCATCCTATCCTCCTCTTCTTCTTCTCCTTCCTTCTTCTTCTTCTTCTTCATCATCCTCTTCTTCTACTTCCTTCTTCTTCTTCCTTACCATCATCCTCTTCTTTCTTCATCCTCATCCTCTTCTTCTTCATTCTTCCTCATCCTCACTCTTCTTCTTCTTCATCCTCATCCTCTTCTTCTTCTTCTTCTTCCTCATTCTTCTTCTTCATCCTCATCCTCTTCTTCTTCTTCATCCTCATCCTCTTCTTCTTCTCTCTTCATCCTCATCCTCTTCTTCTTCTCTTCCTCTTCCTCATCCCTCTTCTTTTTTCATCCTCTTCTTCCTCTTCTTCTTCTTCATCCTCTTCTTCATCCTCTTCCTCTTCTTCTTTTTCTTCTTTTTTGTCTTCCTCTTGCAGGTCACTGCTCATGCGCAGATTTTTTATCGGCAAAAAATCGTCCGATTTGCCCACTATTGCCGCGAAAATCGACCGATCGGCAAAATCGGCCGATTTTTTTTTCCAACTTTACAGAAAAAAAAAACGGCCAAAATACCGAAAAACGCCGACCACCAATAGCCCACTAACGATCCGAAAATCGCCGATTTTATTTTTTTCGGCCGATTTTTCGACCCATCTATGGCCTGCATTAGGGCCACAGAGACTTTAGGGCCACAGAATCGTTACTCAGGGACACAGAATCGTTACTCAGGGACACAGAATCGTTACTTAGGGCCACAGCTATCAAAGAATCGAAAGCCTTTAAAGTGACATACACCCTTTTTTTTTTGGTGGCTGTGTCGTGCACATTGGTGCTGCAGTTTGCCGATTGTGCAAAATAAACTGACTTTCTGCTTCACAACCACTATTGTACGTTTCAAAGAGTTAAATCCATTTACACGCCGGCTGGCGGTAATATTTTTTTGGGTGATTAGTGCATTCCAGTGACACAACGTACAGTTTTCCAGCCAACGGCAAGCTGCAATTGACCGATTGTGTACTACAATAAACTGACTTTCTGCTTCACAACACTATTGGCCTTCAATTGAAGCTGCTTCCGCTCCGCACCCTACACTCTGCCATTGGACTCTTGATATTCGTCTCCCCACCTGCTGCTGCTGGGGGGACTCTTTTAACCTAGGCCTGTGTATGGCCTTCAATTGAAGCTGCTTCTGCTCCGCCACTCTGCCATTGGACTCTTGATAGTCGTCTCCCCACACTGCTGCTGGGGGGACTTTTTAACATAGGCCTCTGTATGGCCTTAAATTTAAGCTGCTTACGCTTCGCCACTCTGCCATGGGCCCCCTGTACCGCCTCCTCATGCTGCTGCCAGGTCCAGAGTGTGTCATGGGTCCCTGTACGGCCTCCCATTGCTGCTGTCTCCATCGCCACACTCTGCCATGTGCCACTTTCAGGTCTCCTCATCAAACTGCTGGTGGGTTCCATTTTGTCATAGGGTGCTGTATGGCCTCCCATTGCTGCTGCCTCCACCGCCACACTGTGGCTCCACACTCTGGTTTTTCCCCGTGACTGCCCAAATGAGTGAAGTGTGCGGTGATTCTAAGATCGACGGCACTCATCTGCATGTCATACTGACTGACAGTATTATTTCTCTTCCCCAGCAGACTCCAAGGGCATTTAAATTAAAGGTGTTCTGCACGAATATAAAGGCTCTCTGAAGCCTAGAAACCCTTTTAATAAGTTAAATTCGCAGTGAATAAATTCGCATCGAACCAAATTTATTCCGCAAATTCGGCGAATCAGCCGAATCGAATTTTTGAATAATTCGCTCATCTCTACTTATAATAAACCTCTCTCAACACATTCCTCTTTTGACCTTGCTACTACCAAAGAGGTCACTAAGGTATTCTCGGAAGCCCATCTCACTACCTGCCCCCTGGATCCTGTCCCCTCACAACTACTACGGTCACCCGCTCCTTCCATCCTATGCTCCCTCATTCACATCTTCAATCTTTCCCTCTCTAACAGTGCCTTCTCCTCCCCTCTAAAGCATGTGCACATCACTCCCACACTTAAAAAGCTCTCCCTGAACCCCACCAACCTGAACAACTTAAGACCCATCTCCCTGCTGCCATTTACCTCTAAACTCTTAGAATGCTTAGTCTACAATCGCCTGAGCTCCCACCTCACTGACAACAACCTTCTTGACCCTTTACAGTCTGGTTTTCGCTCACTACACTCCAATGAAACTGCCCTACTAAAACTCACTAATGATCTACTAACTGCTAAAACCAATGGCCACTACTCTGTACTCTTACTACTTGACTCTCTCTGCGGCTTTTGATACAGTTGACCATCCCCTCCTCCTCATACTCAAACTCCACTCTCTTGGTATCAGAGACTCTGCTCTCTCCTGGTACTCCTTCTACCTAACGCAGCGCTCCTTCAGTGTTACCTATAACGCTGCTCCTCCTCCCCACTTCACTCCCTCTTTTCTGTAGGGGTGCCTCACGGATCTGTCCTTGGACCCCTTCTCTTCTCCATCTACACCTCCTCCCTTGATCACTTGATAAACTCCCATGGCTTTAAGTACCATCTCTATGCTGATGACACACAAATCTATCTTTCTACCCCTCACCTCACCCCTTCAGTCTCCTCTCACATTACTAACCTACTAAGCGACATATTGGCATGGATGTTACTCTACTTCCTCAAACTCAATCTTTCCAAAACTTAGATCTTAGTATTCCCCCCAGCCCGTGCCCCCTCCCCCTGACTTCTCCATCAAGATCAATAACACAATCATCATTCCCTCCCTCATGCCAGGGTACTAGGTGTAATCCTGGACTCCCATCTGTCCTTTCAGTCCCAAATCCAATCACTGTCACAAATTTTGTAGACTTCACCTCCGCAACATCTCCAAGATACACCCGTTCCTAACCTCGGAAACCACTAAGCAACTTATTCACTCCCTTGTTATATCTCGCCTTGACTATTGCAACTCCCTCCTCATTGGCCTACCTCATCGCTGGCTATCCCTCTTCAGTTTATCAGGAATGCTGCTGCCAGACTTATCCACCTTACTAACCGTTCTGTATCTGCCACCCCTCTCTGCCAATTTAAGTGGGAGAACTTGCACAATTGATGGCTGACTAAATACTTTTTTGCCCCACTGTAAGTATAGACATGTTTGTTATTTTACAGAAAAAAAAAATGTACCTTTAGAATCACTTTAAGTTACTGTATGTCTCCTGTCCCTGTTTTCCAAATTGTTTATATACCTCAAAACATATCAAAGGACAGTTGTGTATCAATGAGGTTTTGTTGGAGTGTAAATGTCACATGATTCCTCTTGCCTGCCTTCACCCTCTCCAGTGTTGCGCAAATAACAATTAGGACTGATCATAAGATCTTCAATAGCAGATGAGGTGGTAGTTTTGATATCAGGTGCAATTAAGGTCATGTCAGCTGAGGTGGGTAATGTATTAGCCTGTTAGGGGAATGTAGGCAGGTTGCCTACTGTTAGATAAATTGCTGACCCGGCCAGGAGAGAGTTAAATGTTGTGCTATTGTTTGCTGGGACATGGGTCCCTATCCTGGAGCTTGCCTTTGCCGGTCAGTCCTTGCTGTTGGCCTGTGTCTTGGATCCTTCAACATGTAGGGGGACTGCTGGGATCTGCAGTCTGCGCTGAAGATGCCAGTTGTGAGGATTAGCCACTATGGACTTTCCTTGTTATGAACTTCACTTGTGAAGGTACATTGAGGCAGCCAAGCCTGAGTTAGGGACTAGTTAAGGAAAAACTGTTGTTTTTTTGTTGAATGTACTGTTGCAGTGATTTCAGTAAAGCATTGAAAACTTGTAATGTCTGGTCGGAAGTTTTTAAAGGGATGTATGAAAGTAAACTGGCACTACATATAGTCTACAGCGCTTTGGTCAGTGCAGCATATTAGAGTATAAAGACAGCACCAAGAGAGTTAACACATTGTTGAGTATAAGAAAGTGGTTATCAAGGGTAAAGGAAGCTAGAACAAGCAGCTTGTCATGAAGCATGTACCTGGGGGGTTGCTATCAGCACCCTCTCCCTGAGCGGTCCATTTTACATAGCAACTGGAGCAGATCAGCACCGGTGAGGCCCTCAGCCTAGCTATTACGTACGCAGAAGAAGAATTGATGAAGAGCATGCATGAAGACCATGGTAGTTACTCAGGGGGCCCCCAATTTGCAACTGGAAGTGAGGTAGCAGAGATACGCTGGACAGGTGGAGTGGGCTTCGGCTCAGCATGTCCCTCCAAAATGCAAGAAGTCACAGTGAAAGGTGTACATTGACATGGGGCTAGTGAGAGTTAACTGGAGTCCAGTTTATTTGTTCAAGTGTATACAGTGTACAGCCATCTCTGAGCTGGAGGTCTGCCTTAAGGTCGGTCTATTCCTGAAAGCAGCTTCCACCCTGTCCTAGGGCATTGTTGAGCACAGCACAACTAAAAAATATCCAATGTGGCAAGGCAAGTGACCCATCCTAGGTGCCCAGCATAGCTCAGAAGAACCCACCCTTAGGTAGGCGGTGGGTTGCGGGGTCCTCTTATGTGACCCACACTTGGCACCCAACTAATAGGGTAATATGTAGGAAGTACCACCTTACAGTACCCAGCCCCTCATGCTCGCAGGCACAATATGATTCTTCTGGACCTGTGAATGCTGCAAGAGGTAACTGTCTGTAGATAACGGAACCTGCCACATCTCCCTTACCATCTTTTAGTTTTGGTGTCAGGTTGTTGGGAACAAAAAGTTAAACAGGTGTTTCTTTACTTACTGTGTGATGAGGAGTCTCCTGGAGGTTTGAGGTAAGCGCTAGAGAGAATCAGTTGTGTTTCCCCAGCACAGTGTTTACACAAGCAAGCAAAGTCTCCCAGATCTAGTGGAGTGCTGGGATTATTGTGTCATCTTCCTCATGCACCCTGTCCATGCCCCCATACTAACTACTTTTTAACTTATATATGGATTCCAATGAGTTTGGGATTATTCTTTGTAAGAATTTGGC